TTTCAAAAACCGACTATTCAACTTACTATGGAAAGAGGAATCGATAACAAAATCTTATTTTAGGTGCTTGTTTAGAAGATGAACTATAGAATAGTTACTAGTATACAAAAATATTGGCGGCTAAAAATAAAAACCACTGATTCTCTTCAAACCCTTCTACATTACAACAGAAAAGTTGTACGCTCTTTAGTAGAAAAAGTGAGAAGAAGAATAACGGTTGGAGACGACTTGAATGAGTAATGAAGAAAAACTTTAATGCAAGTTTAACATAACAACAAATGTACAACGTTTCGACAAGGTTTAACTTATATTAAAGTTTTTCTTCATTATCCATTCAAGCCGTCTCCAACCATTATTAATCTCAAAGTGGGTTCCTCGTCATCGAAAGTGAAAAGAACTTGTGTCGAGCAATTCGCAGAAGAAGGGGTCATCAATTAAAAAATGAGCTTTTATCTACAACAGCTTTAATATATAAAACTATTACCACTGCAAGCATTAGGGACACTTGAGGATCAGACGAAAATAAAGCAATCTACAAACATCTTTATCTCTTATATGTCCAATCTTGTTATCTCAGAGAGAAACTAAGATTTTCCCGAAAAATAAAATAATAATAATGCTGCTTCCAAATCTGACAGCAAACAATAATATTTATTGTAACATAACCTCAACCCTCTTGAAAGTAAAAAGAAAGTCAGTTCCTCAGTTTAAAAGAGGGTATGGCAGTAAGAAAACTGAACATTCGTCCAACGTCTGGAATAAAAAGGGATAAGAGAGATAAAGATTTAAGTCATGTTTGATTTGATATGACCGGTATTAATAACCTTCCATTAACAGCCTGATGTTTCCAGTGTTAGTGACCTACCTCTGGATAAAATTTTAGCAATATTATTTTACAGATATATTGTAATGAACTGTAAATTTTTTATATATTTTGGTAGAAGAAAAAATGTTATAGAAAGTTTGTTCGTTGGCAGTCTTTAATTTTGAAGCGATAAACTAGAAGGAAGTCAACACCATTAACTGCCAACTTTTAGATATCTCTTGTCAGACAGAGTAGTGGGATTTGACGCACCACGGCGGCTCCGAAGTAACCTATAAGGCACTATATTATTCAAATACATAGGTTAAATGTAGTGAGTAAAAGACAACCCAAACACCATACACATAAATTACATATAATCACTAAAAGAGGCCTAGCCTTGTTCCTCGATTTGCTTAAGTCCAAAGTTACTGACGTCACAACAGTACAAATTGCAACGTTATTTTAGTGCCTACTAGAGGACTGACAGACAACACACTACTGTATCGTGGTGCGAATGGTTAAAACAGGTGATTCTGAAAAGGGGTGAGGTGAATGCAAGAATAGACTGCACCTCACGTTTCTTCCTCGCTAAAACTCGCAGTTTTGGAGTTAAGAGAAAAAATACTTTATTAAAATACTAGCTGGAGTACCCGTCTCCTGGACGGAAGTTATGTAAATTCATGATTAATGAAAGGTTATCTTAGGAAATGAAAAGTTGCTTCCCTTATATGTAATTGTAAAAAAAAAAAAAAGTTAATTTTGTTTATTTCCGGATTTTCTGTAGCACATCTGTTAATAAAGGTTCGCACAGCAATAATAAAGTTAGCAGTAAGACTAGCACTATCGCATCCAAAGGCTGCTGCCCCACGCTGATTGGCTGCCTCAGGGGAGAAATAATGTCATCAAATATTATAGTTCACAGTTTTGCCACCAGAGGACGGGTCGTTAGGGTCGGGTTGCTAGGCCGCCATAATGAATAATTATGTAATAGTACCACAAAGTAGAGAACGTGTTTCTAGGCCGCCATGACAGGCGTCCATGACTCATACAATACGTCTCATCATGTCGATAATTAATCACTAATTAATTAAATCATTCCTAAAAAGGACGTTAACTCTAATTCATTTATAATTAAATCGTTATAAAAAATGGACGCTTAAGACTAATTCATTAGCTAATTAATTCATCCTAAAAGGGATGCTTAACACTAATTAATTAAAACATTTATATTTAATCCATTAAAGCAATAATAATTAATTCGTTCTAAAAAGGACGCTTAACGCTAATTCTTCGGTTAATTAATTCGTCCTAAAAAGAACATTACATTTCCTTATCATTAATTATTCCTACAAGGACAATACGATAATTAAAACTTACTTTATCACGTGATTAAAGATTTTCAGTACTAAATTATTACATTTCCTGTCCTAAAAGGTCTATATCTTACTCAATCTGACGCATACAATACATGACTATATGTTTAAATAGCCCTAAAAGGGTCATATCATACAATAATTAAAACTTTTACTTTCACTAATTTGACTTTATATAACAAAATATTTTACAAACACACACATACACATATATCGAATTACTATTATTTTAACAACTGCCAGTAGGATTTTAACAAATATACTGAGACAGTACTTCTACAAGCCATCGACGTCTAGATTTAATTATGTTAAAATCATTATTTTGCATATCATAACATCTGTACTAAAAATAATAAATGATTGACTTACTGTATCCGTTCATTTTCTAATTAACCATAGATCACCTTCAAATGCACACAAATCTTGTGAAAGTATGGAATACAACTTCTTTCAATGTTCTACAGGACACTTACTGTTTCACGTTCACAAGTAATTCATATTATAACCAATAATCGCCCTACACAGCTAAATATAATAAATGAACTCATTGAAGGATACTGACCGTCTTGCTTAAGAAATATAAAAGTTTAGAAATATCATCGGATTAGAATTGTCAAACTGTTTAACTTTACTTCACACACATAGAATCTGGATGCAGACTTTTAAGAATTACAAAGGTCACCAAGCAATCTCACACACACACACACACACACACACACACACACACACACAGAGTACACAAACCCATTACGGAAATACTGACGTCATTATTGTCTGCACTTCAAATAACCCACGAAGAGAGGTTGGTCACAGTCCGAAATGTTTGATATTCAAAGACGTCTTGGTTAAGAAAATATACAAAATTAGAAAAAACCATAGGATTAGAATGGCCAAGTCTATTTCGCAATAATTGGCTAGCTAGTCCAAGGACCATAAAATTATAAACCAAGTGATTAAAGTTTTTGGTAACATGAATTATATAATTCAGTGTTTGTCATATATTATTATACATACAAAACATCAGTTACTATGATCATAATACAAAATGAATAATAAACTCTAAATAAGATTAATATTCACTTTTGCAGATCACTAAATATATTCAATTAGACCGTAATTATAATACACAATACATTTAATAATGAACTCTACATATGTACATTATACTTTAATTACTGATATTTAAAAGTACTTTACATAACGTTTACATGATTAATTTGTTACTCAGCATAGATTCTTACAAACTGTGTCCGAAAAACTATTGTTACGATAGCGGAGGTCACGTGACGCTAGTAACACGTCATATTCTCGAAGCTTCGTGAATCCTCGGGAGGTTACTATATTTCGGTATTCTTTTATATATATAAGACGGTCAAGACGTGACGGCAACAATGTAATGCTGTGTAATTGAACTGCGGACAAAGAGAGAGAGAGACGTATTGTTGAGCACGTGAGACGTTCGTTGTGAATTATAGCGTTTGTTATAGCGCGACTGTGGAAATTAAGTGTTTTGCAAAGTTGTATTCAGAAAGAATAAACCAGTTTTATATGAGAAAGGACTTGTATCGCTAAAGTTTCATCGGAAAGAATTTTTACGGAAAATTAACTAACGAACGGAGACGTAACACTATCAAAGTGTTTCAGTCCACTTACAATAAAATGAAAGTTCTTTTAAAGGTGCGACATTTATGCTTATGGAAAAATTTTATTAAAATAAAAGTGAATTATAACACATTGTCGCTGTCTATGTATTTACAATATATTTAATGTTTACGGGTAAATGTTATTAAAATAAAAGTTAAATAATACACTGTCATTATCTATGTATTTACAATATAGTTAAAATAGATGGTTCACTGTAAATATGTAGTGACGCATATCAGTTAAATACCTTTTTCTATGTAATTAAATTGTACGTTTCTAAAATATAATTATCAATGATAAAACAATTATAGCATACCGTGCCCGACATATTGTCAGACTGTTGGGTTAGAATAAAACGAAAGTTGTATTCAACACGTGTAACAATAATTATTATAACAAATATAATGTTTTTGAAACAGTGAACGCAGACTTAACGCTACAGAGAACAGGACATTGACAGGCATGACAAAGGTCACTTACGAGTTGACAAAGTCTATTTCGCAATATACAGCTAAATGGGTAACTCGATCATGCGAATACTATATGTTATAGTTCTACTAGCGATAACCATGGACAGCTCATCTGATGTAAGCATGATTTTTTAATTTATTTCTGAACTAAATGAAACATACACTATCCTACCAAAAGTCATGGGATACACCTCTGATTGTAGGAAAATGGGTGTGACGATGAAATATGCAAATACTTTGGTGGTTTGCTCAGAAGTCATTTCGAATTTGTATGCCAAACGGTGAGTATACGGAAAGAGCTAACAGTTTCAGAGGGGAATGATAGTTGGATGTCATTTGGGGAAAATGTCTAAACGTGCTATTGCGCAACATTCTCAGGTCGATAATTGGCAACGTGCTCAAGAAATGGAAGACCACACGTGACAATGAGCCCAAGAAACGAACAAGGAGGCGTAAACTACTGACTGACAGAAGCCGAGCTCCACAGGACCGAGTTCCATTGATCCATGGTCCAATTTCGGTGTGTCCTGCTCCATGCTAATCGACGGTGTGCATTTGTTTTTGTAATCAACAGTTTGTGGACTGCAGCTTTCGACGTGTCTTGGAAACACTTGTAGGATTGCCTGTGGTTGCTTGTATTTCCAAACACAAATTCTCTAGGGTTTGACAGAGAGATGAGGTAACTAGCATTCTCAAGGCGCGGACAAGTTACGCTACACGCTCTTCTAGTCTGATTGACGTGTTTTGGTATGGAGGATGCCTGGAGAACGCATATTACCTGAGTGTGTTGTCCCAACAGTGAAGTTTGGAGGTGGCGGTATCATGGTCTGGGGGTGTTTCTCGTAGTGTGGACTAGGTCCACTGATCGCAGTGCATGGATACATGAATGCTGAGTCCTACATTAATGTTCTGAACAATTCTGTGTGTCCTACATTGTGGCAATTTTATGGTTCTGGCTCTTACACCTTCCAACATGATAACGCTCCATGTCACAAAGCAAGGATTGTGAATGCGTGGTCCTCACAGAGCCCCGACCTCAACCCAATAGAACATCTTTGGGATGAACTGGAACACAGAATTAGGGTAAGGCCAAGACGGCCCTCTTCAGTAATGGAGCTTACTAATGCTTTAAAGGAGGAGTGGAGCATAATACCACCAGCTTTCTACTAGAAATTAGTAGACAGTCTTCCACGACGCATTGAAGCGGTCATTAAGGCCAACACGCTGTTAATTTCTTGGAATAAAAAACATGTTTTATTCATAACTACCCGTGTCCCATGACTTTTGGTAGCATAGTGTATATTGTTAAACTAAATAAGTACTGTCACAGATAATTTATATTTATGTAGGAAATTGACCCACTATCGAGCAGCAGTGAAGATCTCAACGAATTAGAGATAAGCGTGCCAACAATTAGGCGGAATTTACTTCCCTTCGTGGCCTCTGTCTGTTGAAGAGACTGAAGCTCTGACTACTGTAAGTTGTTTTCATACCATTTATATTGATTAACACGAATTTCTATACAAAAATGATCAATATATTGAACAGCATGCTGAAAAGGAAGAAGTGCAACTGTCCCCTGAAAACAAAGTTTAATCCAGGCAGAAGGTCAGTTGCAAAACTTTGACTTAACTCTTTCTGGGGTCGTTGGGGTATGTCCGAGGACAAATCACAACTGACCTACGTAACTTCTATTAAAGAATATCATTCGTTAATGAACAATAACACCAAAATTATAACAGATATTACTTTAATTAATGAAGAAGTTATAGCTCTTCATTGGAAACATAAACACGAATATCTGCCACAGAAAGATCAAACCAACATCTTTCTGGCGGCTTTCACAACATCACATGTAGAAAATTATAGAAAAGATAGGTTCGTCTGTTTTGTATTGATACAGATAGTATTGTCTACATTTCAGACGGATCTAACGACCCACCTCTAGGAGATTATCTTGGAGAGTTTACAGACGAGCTGGGCGGACACTAAATAACATCGTGGGTCAGTGGTGGTCCAAAAAACTAAGTTTATTTACGCAACGACGCAAAGTCATGCTGTAAGATCAGAGGGTTTATCCGTAATTTCATCAACGGTTAAAAGTTAAATTTTTCATCAATAAAATGTATGATAACCGATATATTCAGTTCTTTTCAGCCTCCTACAACTGTAACTAATCATACGATTTGCACAAACTTAAAGACACAGACAATTTACAACAAAGAAGAATTATCGTCCAGTTTACACCAAACGACACATCCTTCCAGACTCTAATACTCTTCCATATGGATACTGACTTTTTTTTGTATCACATGGAACTAACTCCTCGCCATGGTCTACAGACCGAAAAGAGGCCATGTGCAGGGCCATTGAGGTGGTTCCCAAGTGCACTCAAACATGATCTATATAAGGTGAGTCACATTACAATTTTTTCTCATTAGAGTTCAAGATGGATAACCGTCTACTACATCCTTTTACATATGTCAGGTCCGACAGGAAATGGTAAATCACAGATTGTAAGTAAAGTTTTAACTTATCATCGTGAAGTAATTTATCCAATTCCTGAAAACATTGTATGGTTTTTGTGGTGAATTTCAACAGTTATATACAAAAATAATGCAAAACGTTCCCATCATTCAATTTGTCGAAGGCCTACCTAAATATTTTCATGATTATTTACAGTCTGATAAACCAAATCTTTTTATCATTGACAATCTTATGAGTGAAAGTGGAGAAAATAAACGAGTGTCTCAACATTTTACACATGGAAGTCACCATTTGAATTTATTAGTATTTTTATATTGTACAGAATGTATTTCATCAGGGTAGAAAAATGCGTAATATTAGTTTAAATTCTAAAAGTATTATTCTGTTCAAAAATGTCAGAGACAAATCTCAGTTGAACGTTTTAGCAAAACAAATGTTTCCATCACGTATCAAGATGCAACGAGACAACCATATGGTTACTTACTCATCGATTTGAAACCTCAAACGCCTGAGCAGTTCAGTTTGAGGACCGGACTTTTTCCTGAAGGTAAAGTTATAATGTACGTACCAAAATAAGTTATAAATATTATTTAACTGAATATATATACATTTATTAACATAACAGCAACTGTAGTAGAAATAGAAGGGTTTTATTTGAAGAATGGGCCATACGTAATTAAAGAACATGCATTCAAATATTTAGTCACTAGTCATATAAACGTGTTTTTGTTTAAACAACCGTTTTCAAGTAAATATCTTTCAGATGCTGATCGTCGTCAGTGTAACTGGGTGATACAGCACATTCGTAACATTCCATGGTAATATTGACTATCCCTACCTGTGGAGTGTGGCTAGATTATTGAGAGAAAACTTTACAACCATTTATAAAAAGGGGAGAGAGACAGCCGAGATATTGACAAGTTTGTTGAAAATCCCTTGTTTCAATATGGAATTCTCTGGATGCCCCAAGATTGATCAACTTCCCAAATCTACTCTATTATGTCCGTTTCATATTAACAATTATTATCACTGTAGTGTGAAGAAAGTTGATGTTATATCTAATTGGATGTATCAATAAACAGTTTTTATATGTTGTACACACAGTCTCTTTTCATTTATTCATCATGGTACTTATAATTAAACAACATCAAGAGTTGCTCCGTGCATTAATTACCTAAAGCTACACGTAAACAGACTAAAGGAATAATTGCCGGAGCTAAAAATGACTTTATCTTGAGTATTCATCAATGTGCTTTAAACGTTTTAGAGGGTAACATTCCCATGACGAACATACAAAAACAGAAACTTAGATGATTCAGGTCATTATCGAGAGAGTTAGCTGTCAAGAAAACATCAGTGAAACAGAAAAGAAACTTACTGATACAGAAAGGATGATTTTTACCATTACTCATAGCACCAATACTTTCATTATTTGGTCGTTTGGCAGGATGGGCTATCGGTAAAGCTGCTGGAATATAAAAATATGGCAAAACGAATGGTTCTCGTTCCAGATGAATTGGTACATTCTCGTTATCAATCCAAAGTTTATGAAAGGCCAGTACATAAAGTATTAAACTCTGTAGATAGTGATACAGATATAGATAGTCAGTCATAAAAATAATGCATTACCCTTAAATGATAAACCAACTACAACAACGTCATCAGAACTTTCATTCACAAGTCATGGAACCCGTTAAAATTAGAATGGAATCGCTGACTCATGAAAAATTAGAGATCGTTGACAGCGTTCCTCAGAAATAAATAAAAAAGCTGAAATTCTAATAAACTTGATACGTTCCAGTGGTGATCTAACGTGAAATAATCTTGAAGAATTAGTGGAAGATTCGTCCCAAACAGTAACATAATCGACTTTATCAACGACGTGCTGCGAAAACGAAAGAATTTTAATCTACAGGATGGAAATAATTTGCTGAACGATTATCAAATATGAACCTTCCCCAAGAAGTTGTTGGAAATGTAGACAGATGAAAGTATATGAAATATGATACAAGTGTTAGAAGACCTAAACGTACTGTATCTAAATGGGATCATTTTTTATAAAGCATTATTGTATTATTCATTTGTGTCTTGACTGTCGTCATGAGTTGTTGTCAGCCCTTTAAGCTTAGTAATATCTTGAGTCGTCTAAAAAATTAACATCGTCTGTTGTAAAGGTCAAATTATTTCTACTGTTAGAGACAAATTTGATGGTAAAAAATTAAATAAAAGTAGACGGCGTAGAAATAATGTCTAATAAAACTCTACAATTTCTCTATTATAACCCTACAAATCCTGCTAGTTTTGGTGGAATACAGCCTTTATTTGGATCTGTAAAGGCACTAGGTAGATCAGGTTAAAGACTGGTTAAGTCGACAAGATACATACACTTTACACAAACCAGTAAGATATAAGTTTTCGAGAAACTGAGTTATCGTTTCAGGGATCAGTGAACAATAGCAGGCTGATTTGGTGGATCTCTCTAGCCTAAGTCAATATAACAGTCAGTTTAAGTATTTACTCACGTGTATCGACGTATTTTCTAAATATGCATGAGTTGTTCCACTCAAGGGTAAGAAAGATGCAACACTTGTAAAATCTTTCAAACTGATTTTAAAACAAGGTCGAAAACCTTGTGAACTTTAAACCGATACTGGGACAAAGTTTACTAATCGTCTCTTTCAACAATATACCCCCAAAAAAAACAAGACATTCACTTCTTTACTACACACAAAGAAACAAAAACATCTATAGTAGAAAGATTTAACCACACTCTTAAAACTAAAATGTGGTGCTACTTTACACATCGTGGAACATATAAATATATCAATGTATTAAAACATCTGGTCAGTGCCTATAATCAACCGTGTCATGGCAGCATTAAAATGAGACCAGTAGATGTTAATCGCTCTAACCAGTCTGTGGTATAGAAAACACTTTATAAACCACCCATTGAAGTAAAATTTCAGTTCAATGTAGGTGATAAAGTACGTATTAGTAAAGTGAAGCGTCAGTTTAAGAAGGGTTATATGCTTCGATGGACAGATGAAATATTTACAATTTACCAAAGAATAGAGAAAGAAATCTACCAGTTTATATACTGCAAGACAAAGAGTTATAAAGTCGCTCGATGATGTCTATGCTATAGAAGAAATATTATGTGGAAGTGGTAAAAACCACTGATAAATTTAATAGTTTGATCCCTCAAACAGATCTGAATCGCCTGTCGCCATAAAATGTTATGTATAATTCTATTTCTTATTATTCAACATGGATCAGTTGTATGTGACGTTACCTAGTAACAGTTCTATGCATTATTTTCCTAATAATACTCTGACAAACTATATCACTCATCTTCCGAGAATTATCAACCTTCAAAGATCGTGGGAGTGACCTTGGCAGAACTACAGTATCCACATAGTTGGCATAATGAACCTGATGGTGCAGGCTGGATCAGTTTATTACCTACCTCTGATGGTCAGAATAAAATCATTTATATTAGACCTGGTCATTACAAAGAAGCTGAAGATTTAATTAGAATACTAAACAGACTAGACGAGTTAGCCTATGAATCCGACACATATCCTGTATTTGACTACGATTCATTCACCAGAAAAGTAAGTGTCAATATATTATTTGATCCTGTACTATCTGTAATACTCGGATTTGAGAAGAATCATATAATATCATAACCCACTATAGTTCCACATACTGTTAATACACATGGAGGATTTTATTCGCTCTATGTTTACTCAGATATTGTGGAACCTAGTATTGTCGGTGATGCACATGTGCCACTGTTACGAATCGTTCAAGTTAAAGGTCAGGATGGGGAACATGATTACTGAAATGTTTACCAAACCTCATTACAGACCTGTATCTAAAAAAAGAGATTTCAGACTATTGAGATAGATATAAAGGATGACATGGGTCGGTGTATACCATCTGAACAAGGATGACATGGGTCGGTGTATACCATTTGAACAAGGATGACATTGGTCAGTGTATGCCATTTGAACATGGTAGTCATCATTGCGCTTCACTTCTGTCGTCGTCATGAGTTTACCTTATAATCACGACCAGTGGGTTTATGACACATTACGACTACCAGGTGGGAAATGGATTATCATATTTTGTAGGTAGTCAATGGCAACGGTTTGGAAGATGTTTTAATCAACCTATTTCGTTCAGCCATACTTTTTCTGAAAAAAAAAAAACGGCATTTGCTTTAGGAAAACATGCAGTTAAATCAGGTATAAATTTAGCATCAGGTGTCATACAAAGGAAAACCTTTTGTCAAAGCTGAAAAGCGACGAGCAACACAAGAAGCTCAGAATCAGGCTAGAGAAGTTCCAAGTAATAAAAATAAACAGAAACGTCCAGTGTTCATAACAGCTAAAGCTAGGAGACGAAGAATATTGACTCTAGACTTTTTGGACAAGTACTCATGACTCTCCTACCACATAAAAAGTCCTACAGACAGACCACAATACCTTCACTATAAAAGCTGTCACCCCTCTCACACTAAACGAAACAGTACCTATAGTCCAGCTCTTAAAGAAAATATGTTCAGATGAAACAGACTACAGAAAACACACCAAGGATCTAAAACAAACCATGTAACAAAGAGGATATAAAGATATTAGAATCGACAGATAAATTGAAAAGGTTATCAACACTCAGCGGAAAAATATCCTATATCAGAGCAATACTAAACTTCCAAATAGAATTCCTCTTATCATTACCTATCTGTTTGAACTCAGAAACGTTTCAAGAATTCTAAAAAAAAACACTTTCATCTCCTGCAACTGAACGATTGTCTTAAACAGATATTTCCTGAAGTTCCCGCTGTCTCCTTCCGAAAAAGCAGAACTCTAAAAAATATCCTTGTTCACACAAAAGTGAATTACAACCCACCCAAAAATGTTTGTCGTCCATGTAATAAAGCCCCTTGTCAAAACTACAAATTCATAAAAAACACTGACTCATTTTCTGACAAGCACAATCAAAGAAACTTTAAAATATCCAAATAAATCACTTGTGAAACAAAAAACACCATATACCTTATACAGTGTAAAAATCCAATCACCAATATATAGGACATACGCAAACAACTCTTAGAGAACGTTTCAATAACCATAAATCTTCTATTAACACCAAAAAAGATCTCACTGTTGCTCAACACTTTAACCAACCTGGTCATTCCTTTAACCAGGTTACTCTCATGGGCATTGAAACAGGATTCAAAACTAAAGCAGATAGAGAAGTAAAACAAGCTTATTGGTATAAGCTATAATGGTAAAGCTAAGGGAAATCATTTGACGTCATCCATGTGGATAAAAGATATAGCTGGTAATTTTGATCATCTCGATTTTAATGATGGCGAGAACGACGGAATTAAAGATCGATATATAGATACACGTGGTAATCAAACAGTCGACATGATCGGTCGTTTACATTTCTCACAGAACAAGTTATTGCCTAATGGTGTAAGTTTAAAACTGACTCATACGAGGTAATGATTTGTTTTGTATTATATCAAATGATGAATCAGGATTCAAAAGTGTACTAAAAGATGTTTCTACCTACGCTAAAAAAGTCAAGATCAGCCCGTCACACGTTGAAGCATTTCAGAAAGGAACAACTAAATATCCTTTGAAATATATAATGTGTAAATCGTTTACAATTCCCCGGGGAAACTTGCAAGCATCTATTGATAATGCATTTTTAGATAAAGTACTTACACGTCTTGTTATAGGATTTTTTGATAACGATGCATTTAATGGGTCTTGGAAGGAAAATCCATACAATTTCAAACATTATCAATTTCGTGGCAATCAACGTGGATGGAAAACAGATTTCAGCTCGACCTT